AGAGAGAAATTGGCTATGTACAGTTCTGTCAGACTAAACTTGGAAAGAAGGTGTGGGCTGGCTTTCTCTAAGACATAGATTTAAGAGATATGAATGAAAGACGATTCTGGGAAACTTTGAAATAGAAAGGATATAAGTTCAATGAATGATCAGATGATTTTTAAAAATCTTTTCAGTAAATACGAAGAGAGGTTATTTGAGGAGAAGTGAGGGATAGGGTGGGGTTTAGAGATTGAGGAGAATGGAAAAGATTTGGAATGATCTCTGAAAGGAATGAATACAAGTTCTGTCGGGCAGTATTGGAAGATCAGCTGTAATTAAATTTGTGCAGAAACCACTTGATGTCATTAAGTGACTTTTACCAGCAATTCTCAGGTCATGGGGAGTAGAAACATAAACAAAAGACTTTGAGGTTTGGCATGGCCTGGGCTCTGGTAAATCGAATGCACTTTAGGTCTACGGGCAGAGATGGGCTGGATGAGGGATTTTCTGGTGCTAATATGATATGACTGAAATGATTAATCTCAAGGTATAGAGCAGATAAGAAAGCAAATAATGCTTAAAGGAAGTCAATAAACTAGGAAAATAGAGAGTTATTAAGTAACTAGCAGCCACTGAAGAAGAACTTAAAGATTATTCGACTGAGGAAACGGGACAGTTGAAAGGTCAGAGGATTGTAGCCAGAGGAGAGAACTTCAGAACTGAACATTTTAGGAGCAGAGCAAATGCATTCTGGACAAAGATGAGGGCCAGGTTGTAGCCATATTGCTGAAAACCTAAGATGAAGTGGAAGCAAAGCTTGTTGGTGTTGAGTTCGAGAAATGTGAAGCCAGAGTGGACGTTGAAAGGAAGATAAACAAGGATGTTGAAGTTGCTGAGGAGACGGAATGTGCCTGAAGTATGTAAAGAAACTGTTGATTAAAAGACAAAAGCCACAAGGACAATGCGAGACTATAGTGGGTTCTGGATATTTGGGGAAAATGTGATATAACTGAGTGGTGCTGCCTTAGCAGAGGAGGGCAGACACAGAGATCAATAGGGACAGATAGTGATCTGGAAGCAGTCTTGAAGCAGGGAGAAAGGTGTTCTGTAAGTCAGGTTGTTAGAACAGAGTGGTCTCCACTAGAGATGATGGGGGGTATGTATCGTATTGTGCAAAAGTCAAGATTCAACTTATGCTGGAAGTAGAAGGAGTAGTTGAGAATGTAGAGTAGTTATATCCAATTAAGACATGTATGAAGAAGAGGTTACAGTATATAACCTCTGTTGGAGGCCGCCTGGTGAAAGTTTAATTATCAGTGGAGTATGTGAAATTAAGCAGCTTCAGGTTTCTAATTAAAACTTTGGTGTGTCCAACTGGAATGTCCACTTGAAATGTTAGAGTGACCAGTTGGAACCCTGGCATGACTATTGGAACTTTAGTGTGAACAATTAGGTTATTATCCTTGTCAGCTGGAACATTGGCGTGGCCAATTACAACTTGGCAATTAAAACAGCTAGAGGGATTTTGGCAATAATGGAAGTAGAGTAGATTCTTAGCTTTCAAGAAAGACATTTTGAGGAATCCCAGCAAAGCAGTATCTTGAATGCTGGTTATTAGACAAACAGCATGAGTATTATCTTAAGATACTCAAGCACTCAACAGAGGCTATGCTTTTAACTGTCATCCCGTAGGCCTTGACATCTGGTAGATATTTAAAAACATATTTGTTGAATAAACAGGTGACGTCTCATGGAAGAATATTTTCTCTGTTCTCAGCACTCCAAAGCAATTGTTATCTCATGGACCTTAATTTGTAGAATTGTTCCTTTTCATTTTTGCATTGGTGGCTGGGAAGCTCACATACACATTATAGTCCATCTCTAGCTGTATATAGAACTTTAGGGTATGACTTTTATACCGGCTATAACTCTGACTTCTACTTCTTTTCTTACCTGCTTTATTTTTTATGATTTATTTTTTAACTTGAATTGTCTGTTTTGCTAAGTGCCTCAAATCCTTTTTGGAATAAGCAAGTTGATGGAAGGATGAAGAGATAAACAGAATTATGAGGTGGTGGAGACAGAGAGGGAGGTGGGGACGAGGAAGAAGGAGGTAGGAGTAAATAGGTAGTGTGGGGAAGGATTACATCTTAAGATACTCAACTCAGAGATGCCATTGTCTTCACCCAGGGAGTAACCTTTAGGGCCTTTTATGTTCTGTATAGCCTTAACACCAGGCCCTAGTAGACAATATGTACTCAACAAAATCTTGTCCATTTGAATGAGTATTTCCTGGGTTCAGTGGATATTTGCTGATTGCCTTTTATTCAGCATGTATTTTTAATTTTCCTTAAAATTCTTGGACTTCTTCCTCTGTTTGGGAAACAATGTGATACGTTAAATAAAAATAAGTTTTGGAGTGAGCAGACCTTGGTTTGAAAACTAACTCTGCTGTTGATTGTCATGTGTCCTTGGCCAAGATAGGTCAATATCTGGGCCAGTTTCCTTATCTGTAAAGTTGGGATAATAATATTTACTACCAAATCCTTGGGAGGGTTTATGGAAAGCATGTATGTAAAGTACCCAATGGTGTCTGGCACAGAGGAGACACTCAGTGAATCTGTGTCCCCCAAGTCCCCAACTTCATTGTATACACTTATCTGGCTGACTCTTCATGACCAAGTAATCCACATTTCTGGCATGACAGTACTGCCGTCTCTGCCCTGTAAGCCATCTTTAAGTCTGGTGGCCCAGGAAGAGCTGGCCTTCTCAGTCCAGTCCTCAGCTCATTTTGCTAATATGGCTTCTAGATACTCATCCCTTCAGATTAGCAGATGGACAGTTTGTAGCCTGGCTTTCTGAGGTACTGAGGGCCTTTTGCCATAGGGAATCACATATTCTAAATTAAAATCTCTGTCCTGTGTTTTTTGGTTCATGATCTGAGGACCGTTCAGAATATGTGAAATCACAGCTGTTTGGGTTAGAATAGTGTTGAGATTACCGTTCTTGTACTCAATTGGGCTGCCCAAGATGTTACGGAATGCTCAGACCATGGCAGGATACTGTGTCTTTTCCTTCTGTTCATTTGGCTTGTTGATCTCCTAGTTGATCTCCATATTACATTCTCTTTCAAGGACCTATGTATTCAATGTCTGCCAAGGATTTTGAACCTCATGGAACATTGCTTTTTACCAATGGAGAAACATATTGCTTCTGGACTTTGGGAAATGCTCCTGATTTTTGAGATTCTTCATAATTCCTAGTAGTTCTTGGAAGGTGTTTTGGCTATCCCTTTTGTATTTTGCCTTAATTATGCAAATTAAGTGTATATTAATGGCAACTTGTTGTCTACTACTGTTCTACAAATGGCAGGACTAGTAATAGCCTCTCAACCTCCCATCAGAAGTCCTCACAATAAGGAAATAATAGTCTTCTTACTGACATCTCATAGTGGCCAAGTTGTAATTTTGGTACAGCCCAGGAAAGATCATCTCAAATAATAAGATTCTAATATAATCATTCAGTATATATTCATTGAACCTCTGCTATATGCTCAAGCTCACTTCTGGGCTCATTGCAGTGAGGTCTGATAATGAGATGTGTTGAAGGCTGTGCTGCACATTAAGGAGGTGATATGGAAATAATTGGTTTTGAAAAATATATTGTCATAGGCTTGTTTTTTTGGAGAAGGGCCAGCTGCTTTGCCTTAAAATAGAAGTGAAGAAATTTAGTTCTTCGAGAGTATGTGTTCATTTTTCTCTATTCAGAAATAATGAATAATGGTGTCTGTGTGAAAATTTTTATTTAAATGTTGCTCACTTGTCTCTCAGCATAGTGGGTTATGGCAGGGGCTGTACTATTCCGAATGACTGATTATCATCCCAGGTCCATCCCTAATAGGCCTGTAGCTTATATGCAGTCACAACTCTGTGTTGTCGAACATGACTTAGAGATTGGCTTTTGTGCTATAGAACTTGAGTCGTCTTTGTTGCCATGGAGGTTTATGAGTTTAAGATCTGTTTTTGCTTGCAGGAGCTGCTAAGTCGCACATCTCTTGAGACTCAGAAGCTCGATCTGATGACTGAAGTGTCTGAGCTGAAGCTCAAGCTGGTTGGCATGGAGAAGGAGCAGAGAGAGCAAGAGGAGAAGCAGAGAAAAGCAGAGGTGAGTGTGATACACCAGATTCCAGGAGGACCCATAGTGTCCTAAGCTCAGATCAGGGGAAGCTATCCTAATGTGGACTCAGACGATCTGGTCAACCCCAACCCTGGCAGCTGCTGGGTGCGACAAACATCTATGCACTAGAGACACAATGATCTGTTAATACCAAGTTATCAGGTTTTGCTGTAGCTGCAAATTTTAGCAATGCCCAAACCACCCAGTTTTGGCTCTAAAGCTTTATCCTCCCTAAAGCTGCTGACAAGGATAGAAAGGAAAGCAGGAGTGTGGGAAGGATCAGACAAGACGTGGTGGGACACAGATGCCTTCTGTGAAATCCAAGGTAATAACCCTGTCTTGGGATGAAGTCAGCTGCTCAGTAAGCCACAGTCACTATATCTGAGTCTGATATGCATTTCACTGACCCAAATGGAATCCTTAGATTTTGTGTTTCTTTTCTCCCAATAGGTCATATGAGTGAGCCCATGCACAGGCCTTCTCTTAAGAGGATGTTTTCCTGGGTTTGTTTTTGCTTCTGTTTTTTCCAGGCTCCATATGCCATTGGTTAGAGAATGCCAGACTCCTTTTTTGGATAAACGTTTAGAGAATTTTAGGCTTTGAGCTCCTTTATTTAAGAGAGAACAGCCTATTTAAACATTAGATAACTATCTTCCATGTGTCTCTACCTGCTGGTCCCTATATTCCACATCCCAACTTGAGGGTGTGGAGGGAAGATAGGCTTAGGTTTAGAAACACCTTGACTCACTTACTGATTTAACTGCTTAATAGCTTTATAGACCTCAACAAGTTAGCTACCTAATCTCTTTGAAATTCAGTTTCTCTATTTGTAAAATGAATAACTGTCTGAAGTCCAAATAAAATCATGAAAGTAAAGTCCCTATCATAATCTCTGGCATTTCATATGTAGTTGGCTTATCCTTCCTCCATTTAGGCATCTCTAAAATCTAAAGATGGATATTGTTTTTTTCTATTAAGTGCTAACGTTATTGTGCATTGAAACCTGACACATTTCTGTGTTTGCAAGGTAAACATTGGCCATTGAGACACTCGTAGTCTGTGGGGCATATTTCTTGCATTGCTTTTGAGAACATGCTCATTAGTAAGAAATAAGTAGCCAAAAGAAGTTTTCTCCATTAACCTGAGGATAGCATCTTCCAGTGATTAAGAGTACAGGCTCCTGAATCAGATCTCCTGGCTATCATCCAAGCTCAGCTACTCAGTAGCTTTGTGATCTTTGTGATTTAACCTCCCAAACCTCTATTTCTTCTGTAAAATGGAGATAGTAATACATACTTTCTATTTCCTGGATTGTTCTGAGTAGGGAATGAGTTCATGTACATATAGTCCTTGGCATAGAGTTGGACACATAGTAATAGCCAGCTTTTATGCATCACTTACTGATCTTGTTGTTAACCATGTTGAAAATGGAAATGTAGCCTTAGATACATTATTTATATATGGCAAAGGTCACACAGACTGAAAGCTTATCTGTCTAAAGGGTTAGTTGAATAGACTTAGCTTCTTAAAGGTTCACAGAGAAGCAATTCAATTTTCTCCAGGTTTAGAGTTAATTTTACCAGTGTTTCAAGATGTGTGATTACATGTGACCATACGTTAGGGCTTTAGGGGAAGAATTCGATAGATTCTGTAAGAAGGCTTAAAGTGGCAGAGACTCAACTCGAAACCACATAATTTTTTTTAAAGGGTAGGAGGGTCATTAGGTCACACAACTTGAAGAGTCCAGGGTTTAAAAATCCAATAGCACATGACCTCATGATGTCATTAGAAACTGGTCTTAGTGTATCACTTGGTTCTGTTTTAGTCTTATTCTCAGGAAGTCTCTCCCCATGTGGTGACAAAGATGGCCATCAGCAGCTCCAGATCCTACCAGTCTGGCAACCCCTGCCGAAAGATTCTCTTTCTTAAAGTTTCCAGCAAAAGCCCCAGAATTGTGTCCTATTGGGCCAGTTTGGGTCACGTACCTTGTTCTGAACCAGCCATTGTAGGGAGCATTTACCCACACATGGGCGTATGTGCATGTGAGAGAGTCAATCCATCTGTGGCAACATGCAGAGCTAGTACTAAGCCGGGGCAGCTCAATTCCTTTCTAGGGAAGATAGGAAGGATAGAGAGCTCTCACTTCTGGGCCAAGTATAGCTAAAGCAGTAATTTTACTGTTTGCTTTCTTTCTTTCTTTTTGAAGGATTGTTTTTCAATCTGAGTTTTGGTTTTTGTTTTCCATTAGGCTATTCATTTCTGAGGCAACATAGACCCTGAGCTGCTGGCGTCAGTCCTATCAGATAACAGCCCTCCCCAGTTGCTAATACAAACATCAGGTTTTCACGTGGAGGAATTCTTTAGGCTGTTCAGTCCTGTGATAGTCAGTGAACAGCCACATGACCTAAAACAGTTTCTCATTCTTGTAACTGAACATAGTCTTTGCTAGTATGCCCAGAACCTCCACTACTATTTGTAACTAACTACCTTGAGCGCCAGAGGCTTTTAAAAACATGAAGAGTGCTGCTTAAGCTGCACTACTGGCCTGTGCATGGAGATGTTTATTCTGAGGGAGACATTTAGCTAGCTCAGGTTACCAGAGGTTGCAGTTTCATGAGTAAAAGGAATGCTGCTTTCCATCCTGCACCACTGCTGTTTTTTCCAGTGCATGTGTTTAGCCTAAGGCCTGATTATTTGTGGTTTGCAAAAGGAAGGAAGCTTTTTTTTTATTTTAGGTAGCCAGATCTGTAATAAACTTCCTCCATGGAGCTCAGAATTTATCCTCAAATTCTTTTTTTTTTTTAATGTTTCAATGAAGAAGAAAAAAAAACCCAGATACTATTAACGAGAGCATTGCCAACTACTCTTTCAGTCTGTTTCTGATCTCACCCTAAGCCAGTATCCTGTTGCCTGTAGTTGTAGGAATGATTACACATGGTTGTCTATAAAACCTGAGGACTGTGAAGGGCAGGTTTCTCATCAAATGGAGAGAATACTAACATCCAGCCTTGCTCTGGGGTCAGTTAGCGGCGGCCTAAATGAGGTGAGGGTGATTACCGGGTTTCTCGTATTTACTTTACTTTTTCTTATCAGCCTTTTGCGATGGTTCCGGGTCATTTCAGGGAACCTAAGTTTGGATCGATTAGGTTTACTCCTGAGAAGCAGGACTGCAGAAAGTAAATACTGGAATTACGAGGAAAGAACATGAAAGAAAGAGATCCAGAGGCAAAGGAAAACCCCTGGGTGGCCCATCGTGTCAAAGCCATGTCCCTAGAGAGATCTTCCTAGAAGAGGGAGGCTGGCTTCTCTAAGCACTGTGGATGCAGGGAGGCCTACCACTGGATCCCTTTGTGGGCCCCAAAGAGTTTTGCAAGGGGTACCAGAGCAGCCTGTAGGAGAGGCTACGGATCCAGAATGTGCTGGGTCAGCCCAGTCAATCAGGGATATGCACAAGTATGAAGAGAACCAGAAGGAAATCTTCAGGATTTTCTGGCAGAAAATGGAATGTCCTGTGGCACAAGACTTGGTGTCATCCCTTCTTTCTTCCCATGGTTAGGACCTTGGAAAGAAGGGATCATGGTTTCTGACCTGGGCAACCAGAATGATGGACTCGGGGTACAAAGCAAGGGCTGGGAAGATTGTGTTTGCTCAGAGAAGAGCTGGCCTGACTTGGAGAGTATTATTATTCTTGTTTTTATTTTATGTTGTTTTGTTTACTTATTTTTATTAGAATAAAAAAATGTTAGCCAACATTTCAAAACTCAATAGTTCAAAGGTATATACAGCAAAAAGTCTCCTTCCATGCCTGTCCCTCAGCTAGCAGTCAGGAGTCAATGTCACCAGTTTGTTTCTTAACCTTTCAGAGTTATTTTATGCATGGACAAGCATATTTATTTGGATATCTGTCTATGCCTATCTATAAATATATATACACACAAACATTTCCCCTCATTAAAAAACTTCCTCGTTCATATTTATGTCTGCATATTGTTCCACTGTCTGTCTATGCCCTAGTTTATTTAACCAGTTCTCTTTCGATGAACATTTAAGTTGTTTCCAAGTATTTACTCTTACAAATAATACTTGTACATGTGTGAGATTATTAGAATGGATTTGATAGGTCAAAGGGTATATGCACTTGAAATTTTGACAGGTATTTTCAAATTGCCCTGTAGAGTATAGAGATTACATTCTCTCCTGTGATGTATAAGAGTGCCAGGACACTATCAAACTGAGCACGAAGGAAGAGGAGAGAAAGAACTAAGTAAAATTGTGAACAAGTTTAACAGGTAGGATGGGCTGGGAAAATCTGTGATTATAGGAGGTGCCCAGTAGTTTCACATAGAAAAGAACCAGATTGACAATTAGAACCTCATAAATGTCACTTGAACTTCATGACGTGGGACCCAAGAATGGAACACAGGTACAAAAGACTCTGCCCTATGAGAGGTAAACAGACCTGTCAAGAGAAGAGATGGGCTGGCCCTGGAGATAAAGCATTATAAAAGTAAGTTGAAATACTAAGCCTGAGGATAGATACCTTGGAAAACAGCACCACTCTACCGATAGAGAGAATTAAAGGAGAGTGTCCCAGCAGTGTTGGGGCATACCATAAGGTCACACCGAGCAGATGTGCTCCTGATATAGATCCCAGACTGATTGAGACAGATAAGAGGCAATAGTGGAAGGAAACAGCACGTTGGATAGCTCCTAAAAATCTCCAACTAAACACTTAAATATTTGAAAGGTTGGCTTTTGGTCCCTCTCCCAAACCTCCCCCGCCCCCCCACTCCACCCCACTTGTTTATAGCTTCCACCAGAGGGTAGAGAAAGAAACTGGAAAAACTGCCACTCTAGCTCTAATGTTGAAGCAAAGGAGAAAACTAGTTTATGAAGTAGAAGTGATGGGTACCTTGAGAGACAGTGGTCATTGTTATTTTGAAGTTCTTGACAGCAAGAGAGGGGAAAACTAGGCATTGACAAACATG